TTTCTACTTCTCCGTGTCAGCGCTCTATTTTGAGGTTATGTCACAAACATCTATTTGCGTCAAATTGTGCTTGTTTTTGAGTTATATCATGTTATATCAGCCTGAACTTCCTACAATTTAAAAAGAAATCATATCTTCACAATAGGAGAGCGCTGATGCTGACACGGGACAAGTGTAATCTAGAAATTTTTGAAGGAGAAAAAGGAGTATGACAATCAAGGAGGCCATAAACGCGCCCTGCAATTGTAGGGACGACTGACGATACGGGCCTAAATGTTCTTGTTATGGTATCCGGGATTATTATTTTTGCCGTTCATTCCATTATTATCAGTATCAAGTTAGTTGAATTTTATTATAAACTCCAATAGCTTCACAACGATTGAAGATAGGTATAAACTTTATTATGCAAAAGTTACTAAAAACTTCACAGAAAATCTAAAAATTAAAAAAGAATGGGGGTTTTCATTTAAAAATCTAAAGTGTAATGCAATATCTTATTTTTTGATCACCCTGCATTGTACTGCTATAGATGAAAAGACGTTCCCCTAATAGAAATCAAAATTGACTTATCCGAGCGTATTTCTCAAATTACCGGGAGAGTCACAAATGGGGGTGCGACATTTTCGTTGGGCCATCCTGTATAATAACCCTTATCCAACTGATATGTAGTTAATCTGTTGGCAAGTTATTGAAACAGAACCAGGGAAAAATATTTTCCGGATGAGGAATGTCACAATATGATTTCTTTATATTTTTGAAACCACATCTTTGCAATAGTGTGATATCAGCAAAATTAATTATTGAAATAAACGAAGTTGCCCTTATTACTAGTACTGGCCTGGACTGGAAGAATTCTGAGAACTGAGTTCAAGCCGCGGCCAACTTCAAATCCTAGAAAAACGTCTATCGTCTGGTAGGTACGCAAAGTTGCAATTGTTTTTTAACAGTCTTCGCCGGTTTCTTGCATGGGTTTTTCGGGAGCGTTATTTTCAGTGTTTTCAAATGGAAAACTCGGCCGTACCGTGAAAAAATGTTGGTGGTATGTACGATGAGTGTTTGTGAGCATTTTTAGTGAATCGCACCTTTGGATTATGGGAAGAATGAAGAAAAACTTCGAAATTACCGCGGGCTCCTCAAACGGGTCTTCGTAGGCGATATTTCCAACGTTTTCAACGGGTAAATTCCGTCCCATCTGCGAAAACGGGGTAGTGGCATGTGAACCAAGTGTTTGTGAGTGTTTGTGGTGTTTTTTAACCTTTGGATTACGGGAAGAACGAAGCAAAACTTCGGAGATGCCGCGAAACAAGATGGCGGACAAATGGTGAGTGAAAATTTACTTCATTTTTACAGGTGGCACTGACTTTCTAGGAAATGCAGTGTGCAGTATGTACGGGCACAATACGCATTACACCATCCACGCTGTATACCTGATGGAAAAAGGCGATTTTTTTTTGAGGTTGCACATTTGAAGATTTATGTTGCATTTAGATAGCAAGGATTGATCTTAAATCACATCTTGTGGACAGACGAGTTTGAATTAGATGTGTATGACTAATAACTAGGTACCTACTAGGGTGTAACTTAATTTATAGCCAAAAATGCAGGATATGATTCCTCATTTTAAGAAGAAAAGTTTATATGAACACATGTCTTAACTTTTGGGGTACAGGCTATTAAAAAAATCGTTTTCTTATCGAAGCTTTGATACTGTTCTAGATATTTTCATGAAATTTGACATGCACACGCATGCAATTTCTTAATATTGCTACCAGTGACGTCCGCACGCGGTGTATACTGGAGATTTTTCAAAAAAACATATGGTACGATATTTTATTTTCCAAAAATAAAAATCATTTCTAAAATCCTCATTTGTTTTACGACAAACTTGACCCAATGATTTTTTCCGCCCGATTCACCGTTTTCGCGTAAAAAATAAAACCACTTTGGCTATTTTAATCAATTGGCTTTACTTGAATATTAAACAAAAACACATCTTACCTACAAAGTACCACATAAGATTTTAGCGATTTTGCAATGCATCAAAATTATGAAAACAAGTTTGCAACAACTTTTGACAATTTCGGTGGATCAAATAAACTAATACTATTCAATTTAATTATCACAAGAATTGTTGAAAATGTGCTACTGCTAGAATACAGGCTTCAATTTTGTTTGTCATAGATTGGCGAACCTTTTGAAAAATTCCAGGAGTGTTTCTTATGGTTTGGCAAGAAACTAACATTTCCTGCCTTAGTTCCTCTACAGTTAAAGCAGGATACTTGAGAGGCCAAGATTGAGTTCCCCCACGCCCCATCCAGCGATTCGTAAACGCTTCATTTAGAAATTCCCTAGCATGAATGCTTAAGTATGCAGGAACACCATCATGTATGTACCACATTTCCTCTCTTAATAAAAGAGGTGCATCCTCGAGCAATATTGGCAAATCGTTTTCAAGAAAGTGACGACATCCAGTCGTCCTGGAGGAAATTTTCCAACTACTCATACATGATTATTATGGAAATTTCATGGAATTGTGGGAAAAACTAGCTTCATCAGTAAACAGTATTTTGATATCAAATAAAGGGTTTTCAGCAAGTTTTTCTAAAAACCATCAGCGGAAATACAAACGCAGTGGAAAATTACGAGGCAGTAGTGCTTGAACCCTTTGAATATGATGGCGGTATAGTAAATTATCAACAAGTATTTTGCAAATAAGTAAATGGGAAACATGAAGCTTTACCGCAATTTTCCTAGTAGTTGTTTCTGGATGTTTCTCAATTGTGTTTAAAACAGCTTCCTCTAATGCTGGTGTCCTCACCGTGCAATGTGCCCCTTTGCAACAGTTTCATGTAATCTTCTGTGTATTCTAGAAAACATCCTAGCATCGGGAATGATACGATTTGGATACCGCTCTTGATATCTCCGCCTAGCCGCAGGTAAAATGCATATCTGCTAACTCGGAATATGTAAATCTTGGCATACTTTACTTATTTTCGCTTTGTTATTGATTAAAGAAACTTTCACAATGTTCACGTTTATGAATACTTGTCAAAATAAGACCGCAACGTAATCGATCAAATGTCATTATTTTAAAAACATAATAGGCTACCAGCGGGCGGAAGCAAGTCTCGAGGCCTAATGTATTGCAACATAAATGAGGATTTCAAAAATGATTTTTATTTTCGGAAAAAGACATACCATATTTTTTTTTAAATCCCCAGTATTCATACCGTACGGACGCCACTGGTAGAAATGTTAAAAAATATTCTACTTGATAAAATGCGTATTGGTGCTTAGTCGGAGCATGTTTAATTTCTTGAAAAAATCTAGAACAGGATTAACGTTATCATATGAAAATGATTTTCTTCGTAAAATTTTAACACCTGTAGTTTAAAAGTGAAGGGGCTTAGGACATATGTTTATTTAAACTTTTCTTCCTAAAATGAGCTAAGTAATCAAAACCCGTATCTTTGGCCATCAATTAAATTACACCCTGTATAATGCTGACTATTGGTAACCTAAAGAAACCTGCAGGAAAACGAGACCAACCGGTATTTATACTAAGTGACATATAAATCCGAACACCCAGTTTAAATGGTTTTATTTTAATAAAATTTTGTATAAGTACTTGATGAAGCATAATAAGTAAATGATAAAAATTTCAAAATGATTGCACTGCTTTAAAGCCCTTTGACCTTTAATAAAGTGTGGATGCACCCTGATGTGCTACGCATTCTCCAACGCGCCTAGGCATGCTTCTGAGCAGGTGGTCAATGTCCTCCTGTGGTATCTCATTCCAGGCAACCACCAACTCCTCTCGAAGTGCTTCTAGAGTCTGAGGAGGACGTTGCAAATTGAGCAATCTCCTACCCATCATATCCCACACGTGCTCAATTGGGGATAAGTCGGGAGATCTTGGTGGCCATGGTAACAATGTGACATCATTATGTTGAAAGAAGTCTATTGTGACTCTTGCAACATGTGGTCGGGCATCATCTTGTTGGAAAGTTGGATCTGCCAGGGTGTCAAGATAGGGTAAAAGATGGGGTTCTAGAACTTCGTGGATATAACGCTGCGCGTTCATGTTACCTCTGATGAAGATTAAAGGTGACCTGGAACCTTAAGTTATAGCACCCCAAACCATAACTCCAACAGTGTGATGAACATGTCTTTCAACAAAAAACTGTGGATTCCTCCTTTCACCACGTCGCCTTCTAACTTTGGCATGATCATCATGCATGCCTAAACAAAATCGAGACTCGGCACTGTTCCATTCCTGATCCCAGAGTGACCGTTGTCTGCACCACTCAAGGCGATTACGTCGGTGTTCTCGAGTTAAAGGGAGGACCCAGTGTGGCCGGTATGAAAACAAGCCAAAACTTCTCATTCGTCGGTAAACACTTCGCATGCCAATAGGTCTTCCGTGTTCTGCAAACCATTCATTTGCAATGGACCTGGTAGTGGAGAAACGGTCCTTTAAGGCCAATAATCTTAGGCGGCGATCTTCACGGTCTGTTGTTCTACGGCGGCGTCCAGTGCCCCTTGCTCTTTGCGTACGGCCTTCTCGAAGCCATGCCTGACAACACCTAACCACAGTGTCTACACTTCTTTGCACTCTAACTGCAATTGCCCGAAAAGAAAATCCAGCTTCCCGAAGTCCCACTATACGGCCCCTATCAAACTTACTAAGTTGACGAAATCGTACAGGTCTCCGTACTCTAGGCATCGTAACCGATCGTAAAGGGTGTCAAGAACCAAAATCCGCCAACGTAGATTCTTTACTGGGGCTGAAATATTCATTTTTAGAGCGTTAGTGAATTAAAAAAAAGCAGTATAAAAACCGGAATGTCCAACTGATAAGGCTGACAATTTTTTCACTTGTTATTTACAGTAAGATAAATACATTCACCAACTTTTATTAAAATAAAACCATTTAAACTGGGTGTTCGGATTTATATGTCACTTAGTATATTTAACTCCAATGACCTCAATATCCTTACCTGAGCAGTGTTATCATGGATTGCGTGTTTCTTTTTGACTTTTTGGTAAGTTGTTGCCTCGACTACGGCGATATCATTTTTAGATACTCTTACTACGTTGCTTGTATTACCATCTGCTTCCTCGTCTCCCTCATTTCTTGGAAACAGGATCGGGCCGCGCTCTTGAACATTGTCCGATCTGACTTCAAAAGGTGTGCAAAGGAATAACAGGAAAACTGATATCGCAACACTGGACACTTTGGACACCTAATAAAGAAAAAGCGATAATATATCGGCCACAGATATGATCAATGTATTTCGACCTTATTCAATTCTAGAAGAGAAATTTTAGCACAGCAAGAACTTTGCGATATTTTTAACGAAAAATATCCCAACCGGAATCCAATAACAAGGTCTACTGTTGCAGAAGTTCTGCGGAAATTTGCAATAACACTTTTCTTCTAAAACACTTGGTAAAGATGAAAATACAGCTCACATGTCTGTGGAACTCATTTTAAAGACGGAAAAAAATGAACATTTTTTGTACGGAATAATATTTTCGGATGAGTCAAGTTTTTCTTTGAACGGAACTGTTAATCGCCAGGGAAAATCCTCATTGGGTACGGGAACATCATACACAATATCTACAAAAAATTAGTGTTTGGGTCTGTCATAGGTCAAAAGGTAATCGGTCCGTTTTTCATGGAAGAAAATTCAAACGCTGATATTTGCATCTTTTGGGGAATCACGTTGTCCCAGCTTTGGTGGTAATATTTCCCAATCCTTGTAAGTAACTTTTATTGCCACAAACTATAAAAAATATCAATATTGTTTTATTTAAGTAAATAATAGAGTACCCAACGATAGAATATGGCTTCAACAAATGGTGTGTTATGCTCGGAATGTTCGCGAATTTTCTGGTCAAACATTTTTTGGAAGATGGATAGGTAGAAGAGGTAGGATTGAATGGCCACCTCGGTCCCCTGACCTTACACCCCTCGATTATTTTTTGTGGAGGCACTTAAGAAATGTTGTATACAAAACCAAAGCATTTGATTTGACGGAACTAAAGCAACAAATAGAAAATGAATGCAGAAAAATCTAGGCAAGCGGATGTCTTTAAAATGTTCTAAGCGCATTTCCGCAATATCTAGCTTATTGCTAAGAAGTATATGGAAGACAAATTAAACATTTTTTATCTTGTTTTGAAATTTAAATTAACAACTAGGTTTATCGTTTTCTTGTTTCCTTCGAATATCAAATACACTATTTTAATCAATATTAGAATTTCTATCCTCTTGGTTTCAGTTAAATAAATCATATTTGTATTAACTCAACTAACAAAACTCAATTGACTTTTCAATGTCAGAAATGACATGAAATTATTTTCCATACCTGTCATTGCTTAGGTGAAAAAATACTTTCTATTGTTATTTCGAAAACATCAAAGTATGTTAAATAAAAAGTATTTTGAATTTCTCATAGAATACAAATATTGAATAAAATCTAATGCATTAGCAAAAGTTTCTACCAGTTTCTGAAAAACTGTAGATTTGGCAACATCGCAGATATCATCAACAGAACCGCCGTGGTATCGAACCTAAACCTACCAATTTCTTAAAAAATAGGTAAGACATTCGTCAGATATTTGATTCGCTCCAAAGCTTTCTTACAGTCTGTATATATAAATTCACTTACCATTCCGATATTTTCTAGAGCGAAATTCTGCATGCTGGATTCATTGTTAACTCATCAGTATACTAATTACAACTGATCCATATACATACGGGAACGCATATGTCTACCGCCTCAATCTCTTATTAATACAGAACAATCGAAACATTTTTCACTTTTGCCTCATTATTTTCCCACAAACATTTCTGCAATAGTCCTGATGACAATCTTTCTTTGTGTACGTCTGCGTAATAAGCGAATAAATTTCCGTTTACATCAAGAAATGTCTTTCTTAAGGCGTTATCTTTCTATGGCCGCTGATTAGATTTTTGTGATCGTTTGTAGCGGTAAATGCTTTAATAATGCTATTATTAGGTTTTTTACATTTTTCAAAAATTCGCAAATATTTTTAATCCATTTTTTTTATCTTATTTCCATACTTTCTCATAAAATATCATTGCGACTGAGTTAAAATTTCGTGTCCACATTAAGTTAAAGTATGTTAATGTCATGAACCCATTGTTTAGGAACAAAAAGTGTTTTTTCAGACAATACTATGTCGTAGATTTTCTACCTGAGTTATATGTGAAAAATTTATTGAGATTATTCAAAAAATGAACGAGATAATAGTACCCAACAGTTTCACAAACATAAACTTAAGATCAGTTGACTATATTGGTCCGAAAATCTACAACATTTTGCCTGGGACACTGAGGATGATGAATAAATTAAAATTGTTTGGTTCAGAGTGTAGATCATTTATTGTGGCAAACCTTGGTAGGTTCATAGCTCTTTTCTAGCTAAATATGCAAATGTTTTGATCATATTTTTTATGTTTTTTTTAATAATTTAAATTCTGAGTTCGTTGATTTTTGTCCTTGTTTAAGTGGCTACACAGTAATTGGCATGACATTATAATTATATAGATTGTCAAATAATTATTTGACCTGGATTTATTTTGTTTTATTATTTTACTATTTTATCATTAAACTGTTACATTACACATTATTTAAGATTGGTGCATATGGATATTAAGTAATCTAGGTACCACATAAGGAAAACTATACATGTTTTATTTTAGTGTAATATATAAAACCAATTTATACAGGGTGGCGCATCGAAAACGAAACAGACGCATTTACTGGCAGCTCAGTTTTTTTTTGGAAAAACGCTCAGACCCATCGACTTTGTTTTCGTGAACACAAGTTTGTGCAGCCCCCTGGGCGGGGGTGACACCAACCCTAAAATCTTAAACGGAAGGGGGGTCGAGTGATACCTTATTTTAAACGTCTTTCAATTCCCTTTATAATGATGTAAAATACATGAGCTTCAGTTCAGTAGTTTTGAAGATTTATTGATTTAAAGCTTAAAGTAGACTTTAATAGGTACATCAGATTAGTTTGTACTACTTTCAGAAGAAATTATTATGTTCCTAAATGATGTGTCGCTAGATAAAAGTATGAGTAAAAATTTAGTCCAGTTAATGTAGGTTCAGCAATCGGTTAATCTGCAATTTGACAACAAGATTACAGCAAATTAGTAGGCTTTTAGTGATGAAACAGTTCTCGATACTATGGCCTTTTCAAATACCTATTGGATAATCAAATATCCTAAATAGCTTCTGCGCAAAGTAGACAAAATGCTACATGTACCCTAAATCAGTACATTCCCATTTTTTAAACTGTCGTTGATCTCCCAGCTTCTGAATATGATGGGGAAACGATTGAGGGACAACAAATCCTCAAATTCAAAAAAGTCTTATCCATGCGCGGAAGGGCGGCCGTAGCAAGATTTTGCGTAAAAGAAGGATTATGGAAATCCTGGCATATTACCTGACAGGTAGATGATATAAACCAACATGGGCACTTCAAAAGGGATGCGAGGATGATGCCGTACTCATTTCACTTATGTGATTCTTACTCATCACAGGAATATGCGCAAATGCATTTTATTCATCGATTGTGCAATGGAAATGCTCGACGTGCTGCCGAAGAGTATCGAAAGAGCGAATTTTACAGACCATCGTAGATACATTTACTCGTGTACAACGTACACCACGTATCTAACAACCTTATCCTTATTAGAAAGTTTGAGCTGGGTACTTAGTAACGATATTTTTAATTAATAGATTGCTCTTGCCTTTCCAACGAGCTTGATGCATGGAGCCTGGAGGACGAAACTTAATTTTGTTCTCTGTATCTCCGCAAAGGAATATTCTTCAAAGTTCTGTCAATTCTCGATAGGCGTCTCTAGCAACTTCTTTGGTCAATTCATGTCGATAACCTTGTAGCAGATTGTCAGTCTCTGAAATATTCAGGCATGATAGCTTTTCCACACTTTTCCAGCTCTCGTGAAACTTTTTGAACATTGGAATATCAGGACTTGTAGTCACTTGGTCGATCTTTGATTCAAACACGTCTTTTAACACCAATTCGTAGACATGATGGCGGCAAGCAAAAGTAAGCATTTCGAGCACTTAGGCACCGTTAATGCGACCCGTATTTGAAGCAGTAGTATCACAACAGAGAATCTTAGATCTTCAAGATTTCAGTCAATAATAACATCCTAAACTTCCTGGCGTGCTCGCTGCCTGAAGAGTTATCCAGTTTGGGCACAGCGATAAGTTTCTCTTTATTTTTATACGTAGACGTTCTTTTGCGTCCATTTAAAGGTGGCAACAATTTGCCATCCCAGTGGACAGTTAGCTTTATAGCTTCTGTGCTCTCGTTTCGCGGTACGAATTCTTTGAATGGATGACTTGCTTATAGTGTGATGTCCAAGTGCCTTAGTGGTTGCTTCAATAATAACAACAGCAGCTCTCATACTTAACTGACAGCTAATTTTGGAGCTATGAAACTTTTCCTCATTTGAGTTTGATTAGTATCAGGCTATGTCTTCTGAGTGGGGATGGGCAAAGTTTTTTGTAAATCTATCTTGGAATCTGAAGGCAAGTTTTGCCTAGGAAATTTGAGGCTTTATGTCCTCTATTGAAAATATCAGCATTTTAGAACTGCATAATTCGTCCGACATGTTGACTGAACGAAAACAGTGCGTTAACTAATAGAACAAACAAACGCTGCAATACGCGCCTAATATACAAGTTTTGACATGTTCCAACGCAACTCGGCACGATTGCACTGATTCTAGGTACATAAGACTTTATTTATAATTGTTTTGACATGGTACAAGCAAACTTAAGGGTTTGCGTATTGAAAAAACTTTTTTTTGGGACACCCCAACCTTTGACTATTACTCTTATAATGCGAGAGACGTTGAAGTACAACAAATTAAATCCAACCTTAAATTCTTTATTTTAACAGATGACTTAAATGCCCCGACAATAAAAAAACGAGAACAAAACAACACAAACAAAAAATGAAATGATTTAAAAAATTCAGTAATAAGACCAGTCACCACCAGCTGCAATAACGACTTGGCAACGATTTATCAAGTTCGTAATTGTGGCCTGTAGGATTCAGGTCCACTCTGCAACGAATGCCTCCTGGCTGATGTAGGTTAAAGCCCTGTTGATACAGCTGTCGTCAACCTGTCAGTGATCGTGTCCAAGATGCCGCCACACAAATTCCGTTCAGTCTGCTACGCGATATAAACGGAATTTGACAAATTACCTACTACTGTACCTCCTCAAGAGGATCTGGGCGTCGCTTCCTCAACCAACGACCCAGCTCATCCCAAATATACCCGATTGGGTTATGTCCGAAGACATTGTCCCGTGTATACATTCTCCCGTAATCCTCGCTGAATGCGACCGGGCATTGTCCTGCATAAATATGAAGTCCTCGCCTTGTTTCTGGGCGGCAGGCACAACGTACGGATCAAGCACCTCGCTAATACAACGGTAGGAGTTGACGTTAGGGGGTGGGAGGAGCACTAGTCGCGTGCTGTAATAACGGAAGTTATGCACGCCCACACCGCCACCGACCGCCCACCATACGGTACTTAGTTATGCACGCAGCAATCCCTAAACCGCGCGTTTCGCCCCTTCCATGCACACGACAGTCACACCTCTACAAGCAGAACCGGCTTTCGTCGCTGAACATGACATTTTGCCACTGGCTCGGATTCCACCTGATACGTTCTCGGGCACACTGAAGGCGTGCGCTGCTATGGGCGGAAGTTAGGGGTGGTGCCGTTTTCGGTCTTCTACACCTCACGCCTGCTGTGTAGAAACCGACGAACGGTCTGTTTTTACACCGAAGCAGCCTAAATGCCAGGACACCGCGACTTGGGTGGACAAAGTTGGACAAATACTTCCTAGCCCTAAACAAATAGCCTAGCTTTTTCCCAGCAGCTGCCGCTGTTGACTAGATTTGTTCGTGCCTGGTCAAATCCTCGGTGATCTGGACTCCGACCAGCTGAAATGAACGTCTTTTTAGCAGAACTCGGTTATCCATCCTAGGGCGCTTTTTGTCCATGAAGGTGCAGTGCTGTGTTTTGGCATTAAACTGTACAACATTGACAACCTCCAGGTCTCTCGTCAGAGAGGAAGTCGCTGATATTGTTCACTCTGTCAATTTTTAAATTTGTATTGTTTATTTTATGGCCTCCTTCATTTTGATAGCATTTTCTCTCCTTCAGAAAGGCTGGGGTATTTTTAGATACCGTCAGCGCTCTCCGATTGAGAGGTTATGTTTTCATTTTTGATTTGATGCAAATAGATATTTGTAACATAACCTTAAAATAGAACGCTGACACGGAACAGTAGAAATTTAGAAATACCACAGCCTTTCTAAAGGAGAGGAAATACTATGAAAATCAACGAGGCCATAAAGGAGTCCCGCAATTGTATGAACCACTGACGATACGGCCCTAAATCTCACTCTAAAGAAATCAAAAACACCCGGTTGCAAGAAATATTTATTTTTAATCTAATCAGTCGTAGCGAGAATAAATAATATACATATTTATATAAATACTTGTGCGATAAATACAACAGAGCCTGATATTATCATACGTTACACAAAGCACAGTTTTTCAGTCGTCCCTACTACTTATTCCAAATTAAAAATGATTCCTTAAACTAATTCACATACTGCTACAAAAATAGTGAAATATATTTCTAGAAATTATCACTTAGCAACTCACGTTTTAGATTTTCTTGCTTCAAGAATGGATGAAGTTCTATCAACAATCAACTTTTACTCACAGAGATTTTTAGGTGTTTTCTGAGAAAAAACCTTTACACTTGCTAAACATACAACGTTGTTTCATGCTTGTCATCAGCAATCATCAGTACGGTGCAGGCCGTCATTTGGAGAAAAATGATGGAAATTAAGCTAGAGAAAATGTCAGAAGCTTACGTACAGCGGCTGGAATGACATTGCCATTAGCATGGTGATTATTTAGTATTCTCCTGATTAAGACTGGGACGCCCACGCAGGGTTGCCAGGCTTTTCAGTCACGTTAGTCGCCAAGTTTTGACGAGGAAATCGCCGATCCTTAAAGCGAAAATTGACTAGAAGTCTAACCATGTCTTCTGGGAGCGAATGTTCTTGTCATTTTGTGACAACGGCGGGAGGGGAGGTTGCCGACATTTAAAAACTGAAGTAGTCAATCGCCAAGCTATCCATTATTAACATTCGTCGCTAGAATTCTCAGGAAAACAAACTTGGAGGATAAAGGAGATATAGTTATTGCCCTGACACTGTATTTCAAAATGGTAGAGCGTGAAATTATTAAGTCAAAAGTTTTCATTTTCTTCGCTACTAAAGATCGGAAGCAATGACGATATAAAAAAATGTGAACCCAGCACAGAAGGGCAACGGATTTCTGTACAAATGACGACAAACTTTTTGAACTCGTACGGGAATTAAAAAAGTTATGAAAGGGAGAAGCAAAATTAGTGGTAAAACCTTCATTCGTCTCTAAAAGTTCAGCCATTGTATATATTGACATGAATAAAAAACCACATTATAGAAAAAATGTGGTTCTTGATAATGGAAAGCATTGCGGTCTGATTGAGACCACAGAGTGGCTCAAATTTTGAGTAACGGAACATCATTTTCATTTTCCCTGTACAACAAGTCATACCGTGACTACCACAAAAAACTCATATTCACACAATAAAGCCAATTAGTGTACCTACCGCCTGCCGAAGTATTAAATGAAATCTGGTCAAAAATAAAAAAGTAATGACTTTACGAATTTAACCAAAATTTATTTTCATATCACTGTCAAGTAAGCAAAGCTAAAGCATATTTTAGGCTAGCAAATTCACCTTCAATCGTCGCCACTCAAATTTTAAGTGTATCGGTGCAACTAAAATGATGTTGAGGGTCAGTCACCTTTTTATGTAATCAATGATATCAGTCATGTCCGAGAATCTCAAATCCTTAATTATCGTAGAGTAAGCAATACACTCGTTATATTCACAAAATCTGACCATTCTGCAAATTTTGATTGTCCACTCTCGTGATGATCGGTACAAACTGTGATGTTACATTTTCTGCATTCAATGGAATAACCTGAGAAGTATCAAACACCAACGGCTGACACATCAAAAAATGTTCAGTTACATCGAACTGAGGTGCGCTTACAATGAACTGTTGCAATTGGGGCTGTTGTTCTTCAAGTTTTACACTTTCTATTGGAATGTTTGAAATTTCTACAGTTAACGGATCACCATGAGAGATAAACTGGGTTTGCTGAATAGCACTAGCAGTTGTATCGACATATAAGTTAATATCACCGATCGTCTCGCATACAGGATTGATATGGTTTATTTGTTGAGAGATAACCTCACTGTCTATCTGGCCGGTTCTGACCTGGCTTTCTTCTTGTTTATCTGCAATCTGACTCAAAGTAGAGCCTAGTTTCGCCATCAGGGTCATCTCCACCTTCTCAGCAGCCTTTTGAGAGATATTCGGTGCATTCTGAACCATAGCAGCGACAAGTTCTGGCAATCGTTCATTTGGTTGGATGATCTGTTTAGGCAGATCCGGTTGAGGCTCGCATTTGTGTACAAAAAATGCAAACGGCTGTGTTGGATCCACAGGATGTAGATGATAGAAATTTAGCTGAAAGGACAATGTATATTTGAGAAGATGAGACCTAAAGCTACTAAAAATGTGAAAAACAGATTTATTTGCGCTGAGGTAAAACCATCCCGCGTGTTGCTGAAAGCAGTTAGAAATATAGTCAGTGATATTTTCAATAAGAAAACTGCTCTGGTTCTCAAATGGCACTTTGTTAAATGTTAAAATAAGACTGCTATGACAACCTCAGCAATAATATTGTTACCTACATGCATGCATGTTTATTGTGAATAGCAAAAAAAATACAAAGAACAACTACTACAAGTGTTGGCTTCTCATTCAAGTGCAGAACAATTTGCACCAGATTAAGAGCAATATGCAAAAATTCAACAAACCTTAACAACAACGTTGAGGCCCAAACGAACATGTCTGTTTTTTCTACTGGAATGTGGATTATCTGTGAGGACTTTTATGTCCAATGTAGCTTTGCATCTGCGAGCATCGAAAAGAAGATCTTTCTGTATCACTTTTCCCTCGTGTGTCCAGCACTGATATTGCTTTCTGAACCGTATCTTAGGACCCGTATTGGATATCTTTTTGGCCCACACTGTATCAGTGACTTCGGAAAACAAATCTACCCATTCATCACATAATGCATTAAAATCCTCATTGTCTCTTGGAATTTGGGTCCTAACCTTCGCTTCGTACTGCTTCGAATCAACCTCCCACCTCGCCTGAATTATCTCGTACTTTCTGTTTATGTTTGTAAATATTTGGTGCAAATCCCTCTCTTCAGTTTTATTGACTGCCATTCTCTGTTATCAAAACTAGAAACACGAGTAGAAAATAGGAATGCACCATATGGATCAAACTTTATTTCCCTTTCTCCACAAAACACATACACTGAGCTGAGCACAAAACACACAACTTTTCCAACCTTGACCTAACCTCAAATTTTAACCGCTCGCTTTGGTTCGATTTTGAAGACTGTTGACTATAGTTGATGGTGCTGATCCGGTAGATATTGGATAATGTGTATATGCACCTACATTGATTAAAATTAGAAGAGAATCATTAAATAACATAATTAGAGCCTGATTTTAAAAGAATTTAATATATTTTTTTTGAAGGAGATTATTTTCTTGGGGCATCTATAAACGGTCCCGCATCGGGAGATACAAAATATTTTGATGGCTGTCTTTTTTGCTTAGCGACAAAGTTGGAAAATTGGCGCATGGAACTCAATTCATGGCGAAATCCATGAGTTTATTGTCAATGTAAAACTGGTATAGACAGGAATTTGATCTCAAATAAATTCATGAATTTTTTCATGCATCAGTTCACACAATTAGAAGATTAGAATTTTTGTTAGATGTCAAACTCCATGGTGCGGAACTTGTTTTGCTTTCCATTGTATCGGACTTCAAGAATAGAAAAAACGTTGATAAAACTACAATATTCAACAATCAGTCTGCATTGTGTACAGTGTTCTAGTTCCTGCCCAGACCAACAGCAAGGACGCCGAAAAGCCGAGTATGAAGTGAGTATTAACACCTACATCCAATCCACCTAGCTGGCCATCTGTTACTAAATAGCTGAATCATGCTTCTCATCTAGTAATCTTACTTATCGACATAAATTTGACATTTAACATTTTTGTGCTTGAAATCCATTATCTGTCATCTGTCACTCACATTTTTCTTTTCACAAACACCTATTATCCGAGTAGTAGGAAAAAAGGTAATAAATATATTTTAATAGTAATCATCAAAAATCCACGTTACTTAATGTCGAATTACTAAGGAAGACTCAAAATCGTACTCCGCTAATCGTTACGTTTTTCCTCATTGACGTATTTTTCATTATTCTCTATAAACACAAAAATTTTAACATGTAATTGTAGGTTATGTCTTATGTTATTAAAAAAATGAAAGATTCCTAATTAATCCGTCCTTATCATTTTAGCTCATACGATGGCAAAGCCCAAAGGGGAGAAAAAAGGCAAATCTGCCATCAATGAAGTAGTTACTCGGGAGTACACTGTGAATCTTCACAAAAGGCTACATGGTATTGGCTTCAAAAAGCGTGCTCCCCGTGCCATAAAGGCTATTCGTCAGTTTGCGTTGAAACAGATGGGAACACCCGATGTTAGGATTGACACCAGGCTGAACAAACAGTTATGGTCCAAAGGAATCAGGTAGGAAAACCAATCACTCAAAATATGCTTCATAATATTTGCTGCATCCTTTCATTCTGAGCGTATGGTCACAGATTATTAGCTACACTAGTACTGGTCATAATTGTCTGATTAATAATCTGTTATTTCATGTTTACTTCCCATACTATCCCAAGCAAATTTAAGGATCATTCATACGTTTTTTTTTTACCACTTAATTTTCAGTTATATTTTATTTGATAATGAAAACATTTGTAACTGCTAGAGCAGTTCGTTGTAAAAATTGAAATGCAAAGAAGGTTAGAAGCATATTGGTAAACATTTACAGGATGATCAAGAGTACTAGATCTTGGAAAATCATATATCTTGAAGACCGGATGTTTTAGGACATGTTTATATGAACTTTTCTATTTAGGTTCACAAACGTGTCCTTGTAATTATGACATCATTAAGTAACATCCTGTATATGCATATATCAACAATTAAATCAAAGATTTTATCTGTTATTAATAAATCAGCGCTCCACTGAGCAGTTGTGAGTTTACTTATTATATATTGAGCAAGCTAACATGCTAAATTTTTATTGATTTGGTTGATGCATAAATATATTTCAATGTATGGTATTTTTCACAAGTATCCATTATGTTTTGACATCTACTGAAACAACATCTTTGTATTAGTCTGTAATGTTGGCAATGATGCATTTCAGGACTGTATTCAGAGCTGTTGTTCACATAAGTGATGAAAATGTGACAAGACGGATATAAAAATGTTTATATTAGAAAATTGTGATGGTACATCTGGGATTTATTAATTATGATGTAAGAGGATAGGACAGGCTGTGTTGTCATTTCCACAAGCTGTAACTTTACATGTAAAAATAATATAGACACGTGTTTCTGGTTAAGTATGTGCAGAACCTATCAGAAAAATGAATAATATAGTTGTACATTTTACTTACATTTTTCTCATTTCTAACTTATTAGAATAGATGGAGTAATGTTAAGGCCCAAGCCAGGGAATTGAACCTCTATGATTTGTTATCCAAAAAGTAGAGTCAATAAAACTGTTTACCTTATTTTATTCCTACCTTATTTCAAATGTACTCATGATGATTAGTAGCAATTTTGATTGTAGGGTTTTTTTATGTGCAAAGTGACTTTTTTTATATAAAAGAGTTGTTCGCAAGTACCAAATGAATCTGAAACTACAACAAAATACGGATCTGTCCACCTGGCATTGACGGATCTCTCAGCATTAATTGTGTCATTTGTCAATATGGGGAGTTTTAAAATATCACTAGATAATCAGCTGTTGGTCTACGGTGGTGGATACTTGTGAAAAATACTGTAGAGTCACTGGTGACAACTTAACCTGCAAGAAATATGGCTTTAGCAGGATGGAACATGTCACAAAGGATTTTTTCTAAAGTGATACAAACATGGTTTGTATTGCTTTCAGAGGTGGCATTTATGTATTTTTTCTACATTCCTAGGGGCTGTATAATCAGTCATTCCTACAATTTTATTGTAGGGCGCCGTTATGGCCTCCTTGATTTTCCTAGTAGTTTCTTTCCTTCAGAAAGGCGGGAGTATTTCTAGTTTTTTAATGTTCCGTGTCAGCTTTATTGTGAGGCTATGCTTCCTTTTTGAATTGTAAGAAATTCGTGGCAGATATAACAGATAGAAGCATGAACAATTCAAGAATGCAGATATTTGTAACATAACCTCAAAATAGATCGCTGACATGGACCAGTAGAAAACTATGAAAATAACAGGCCAAAATGGCGTCCTACAGATGTAGGAACAGCTGATGATATGGCCTTTATTCCTAACTTTCAATATAGCATCAAGATAGAAAATTTGAATTTATTTTAAATATATTGTAGAAACAAATTAGTGATGTTTGGCTATCCTGCAGTCAGTTTTATATATTTTTTTTTTTTTCAGAAATGTACCTTTCCGTGTCCGTGTACGATTGTCAAGGAGAAGGAATGACGATGAAGACTCTGTAAACAAATTGTACACACTTGTGACTTATGTTCCAGTAGCCAACTTCAAAGGTCTACAAACTGAGAATGTTGACGCAAATCAGGAATAAATAGAAGTTATTTAATTTTTCATTGTTTATTTCATTTCCATTGTTATACAAAAGATATACAACTGAAACATGCTTAAAAGGTATACAGGAAAATAACTTAAAACTAATAATTTTGCCAACACTTAATTTTAAAGTAAATACAAACAGACCATCGTTAGGAATGAATTTCCGTTAAATATTTCATTTATAATCAATACATATACAGTGTAGCAAGTCCATGCAGAGGATCCCTATCTTGAACACCTGTATATATAGTGGAAACTGTTATTTGTCATAACTCGTTAGGCCGACCTGCTGAGCATGTGTTGAACATCTAGATGTTCCAAAAAGATAGTCAAAAATTAATCAATCTTCAATTCTTTTAAATCTTTTAGTGGTTTTATGAAAAACAGCTATGATTTTTCTAAATGATTCTCATATATCCAGTTTTTTATTGCTTTACTATGTTGTTTCATCCACCTTTTTCTAAGAACAATTCAGCAACAATCTCGCCGGCAAGGTGTACTCTTTTGACTAGAAAACTCTAGCTTTCGATGATCTATGCCATCAACATCAGGAGCTAAAAACAAATTTAGAAAATAGCAACTGTATAAACAATTAAGTGATATTTCGGTACTTGTTTATAATTGCTATTTTCTAAATTTATTTTAGCTCCTGATGATAGCATAAACCATCCAGTAGACTTTGCAAATTTTTGTCAGTTCCCAAAGACATATCAAGGATACTTTCTCCTAGCTCTAGTTACGACAAATAACTATGTTCACCGTATATGTTATATATCTCAATAGATTTAGCTTGGCTACCGATGGATATTTCTAAAGAGTACATGACCCTGCATCGTTAAATTAAAATTCGACAAATGCATCTTAAATTAGTTTTAATGGTTGGAAATGCTGATAATATCCTCTTGTGAAGTCGACCATTACATCAGCTTGACATTCTGGTAGATCGCCAACTTGAACACCAGGAGATCCGCCGTACCTTGTGAATGGCGGAACTACGGTTTCAGGCGCTAATATAGTGTTATCTTCTATGACGCAGCAATCCTTTAAAGTGCACCTACGCCCCTTTAAAAGAGGAAGAGCAAAATATCAACCATTAGTAAAAAAATCAGTTGAAAAAAAACACTTTTAAACTGACTGGTGTAAGACTAGACTTATCATTTGAAATACTTAATGGTAATAAGTGGTCTTTTATTAGGGCAAAGTTTAGAGATGTGCTATTCTTCTACTTAACCGTTTTAAAAGAAAAAAATTACAAATGTATTATACAATGTGTCTGGTGGTGTAGCAATTGCAATAAAAGGCAAATAATTTCGTGCATACAGTTGAAACCTTTTTAAAGACAGTTGTTTTTCACACAAACTAGATAAAATTGTGCTAATAAGTTCCTATTAGGAAATAAAAGATAAATAAGTTGTACATCTGCAAAAGAAGATGTGTACAAATATACTGAGTCAGCATACTTTTATTTTAACCTAGTGATTGAAAATTAACATTAACATGGAAAGGCTTCCAGCACAGTTGGATTAAAATTCAATGTAGATTTCAACTAATCCTAATAATTTCTCAAGTAATACATATTGGCTCAGCTCAGGGAGAACATGTAAAACTAAAAATTCTCTTCATTTAATTTCAAAAATGTTCATAAACTACAATATGTACAGCTAGAGCAAAAATATGAGAAAAGTGAGCCACCAGCATTCCTGATATGTACCTCTGTGAGGAGCATCACAAACACAGTAGAAGCAGCTATTTTCTGTATGTTTTGACTGTATTAAATGTTAATGGGACTCGGTTGGTTGCTAGTAAGTAAAGAAGCTGCTTTGTTTTTTGCCTAAAGACCAGCACTGACAGGTTACCAATATAACCCTGCCTTTTCAATTCAACATGTAGCTTGCTTAGTAGCTAGAGAAGTGAAAAACACAAAAACATAAACACTTAAATGTGAATACTCACAATAACACAATTCTTTCCAATGTAAACATAGTTTCCTACTACTGCAGCATTTACAACAGATCTCTCGCCAACAAATACATGGTCACCCATGTTCAGAGGAAAGAATGCAACTCTGAAATTGTATTATATCAGTAGGTATCACTTTAGGTGATTGCTCAAGAACATACCCTTTACTAAACTTTTTGTATGGTGGCCTCAATACAGCCTCTTTGCTAATGATGCAGTATCGGCCAGTTTTCACGTTTGCTAGATCGCCCCTTATTATCGCCTCGGACTGTACGATAACTTTTCCTTGAAGGATTATATTCTGGGAGCCACAAAGGATAGTTTGACGACACACCTTATTGCCAGACGCCTGCAAAATTTACGTTTTGGTTTAAGAAACACATCACTATTCTTAAGCCTACCGTTTCAACGTATTCTCCTTTGTTGTAATTTATATCCCTTAATTCCATTTTTATGTGATGAAATATATTTTCTTTTTCTTATTACTTCACAAACCTAACCTTGTTTTTTGTTTATATGTCATCACCACAAAACATATACACGGAAGAAGGTACAGTCCCGTGCTAACCACAGGGCAACACGGTTGATTTATGTCAATGTCAAGCAGTGTTGCCAGGTCAAAAAATAAAATTCACCAGAAATTGAGCTGAAAAATCATCAGGAATTTTAAACGTTGATTTTTGATTACTAGTTGTAAATGGAAAGAATGAATTTGTAATCTTTGTATACAACGTAATAATTAAATTATTTAATAAAACAATTCACTATAAATTTCCTGCTACTATGGCGAAGACTGTAAATTATTTTATCAGTACCTACCTAAGAAAATTTGAATACATTTTTCCTGTTGTTTTTTTTTTATGATTTTGAATTACTTTTTGATACCCAGATCAGAACTATTGTATAGAAAAACAAAACAATTTTTTCTATCTAATTAAATGTTACATTTTTTCAAAAATAATAAGCGTGTCTAGATATAGATTTCTGATTACAAAAAGTCTATTCTTACAGTTACGGTACTTGCCAAACCAAAACTTGTTGTGTAGTGATAATATTTTATTTGTCACATCAAAGTTGTAACAGCTGTTTGGTTTAGTGAGTCTTTTAGTAAGCAATATGCCACTTAATGTTGTTAAACTTGCCCAATTTGGAAACTCCTCAGCACCGTATCCTCTGTTTACTACACACACAGTTGTCCTAAACTCTGTAGAAGCTAATAGCTGTCAAAAATTTTCAAAAGTCTCTACTCTCGATCTAATGCATTTTAAACAGAAACTACGTGTGGAAATTCTTTTGCTACATTACCAATGCTCTTAATAGTAAAAATATTTGATGCTACTAAGAAACATAATAATTTTAATATTTCTCTTTCCATGGCATTAGAAGGAAACCTTGTAAATAATTTGTGGAGTCTATGAAAAACTCTAAACGCTTTAATTTGAAAGAATTTTTTTGCTGTTCGGTTAATATATCTTGCTGAAATGCTATACAATACGCGGTACAGATTCGGAAATTTAATAATTGTTGGGGTTTTTGGTAGGTGAAAGATTGTTGAAAATATTCAAAATCGATGACATTTCGATGACCAGATTATTCATCAAATCAGCAGATCTGGTGAAATTTCACCAGATCTGGCAATACATATAAGTGATATGTACTAAAGAAGGTACATCCTGTACTATCCATAGGACAACACGGTTGACTTATGTCAGTGCCAAGCGCCATTTTTCAGTTTACCACGTCAGCTCCGTTTTAGCGTCACGTGACAGAATTCAAATAAATCTGTTTTCAATATTGCTAATTTATTTTTTGAATAACAATTAAACTATTATTTTTCCTCTGTGTGGCTTTTAAATACGATTTCCTATCCGTTAAACGTACTCGTAACGCGAATTTATGACTACTAGTAAGTACCCTTGAAAGCGTTACTGCTTATTTAAAATCCGATGAGAGAATAATCCTCTAACGGCACTAAGTTCTCAAGGAATTATGCTCAAAATTCTAGAGAACTAGAAGCATATAGAAATTAATACAAAGCGAGCTTTGTGCTTCTCATATTCCCATGTTAGAAACCCTCTGAGTGTGTACGCAATTCGCGAAGTGGTATAACAAAAACAGCGGCAATAAAAATTAAAAATGTTTATTGTAACAAAAAATATATACAATCTTTTTAAGGTATAACGCTTTTAAAGAGCAAACATCCACAATAAATATTTTAATAAAATAGACAGCTTCTTATAAAAGTTCTATAACTATATTTGAACGTGATACACGATCCATATATAAGAAGATATTCCTTATGTTCCATTCTAAATGTGAACTACGTGACAATTGAAATTTCAATGCGTGATATTCGAGGGCCTTCCAATCGCTGGAAGCCATCAGCACCTGTCGCATACAGATCATTTTGAAAGAATTTCGCTGACATTTTGGGAATCGGGAATACTAAGATTCAGATAGAGAGAGTCTGCTATAGATCTCTCGAGAAGCTAGATGCCCCTAGCTATCTATTGGACATGATAAAGAGCTACTTTGACGAGAGAACAAGATGAATGTAACCATGGGAGTGCCACGGGGCTCCGTCCTAGGGCCGTTGTTTTGGCATGTTTTCTACGGATGCTGCCGGGAATTCACTTGATAGGGTATGCTGACGACCTTGAGATGATAGTGACTAGCAAGGAGCGAGATACACTTGAAGGACTCTTGGCATACGGATTCACGAGAACTACCATATTCTTATTCTGAGTTATACTTTCTGGCAGACAGAAGCTGACTTCATTAGCTGTTAAGGTTGATAATTTCGATATTCGGAGCCAAAGTACAATTAAGTATCTGGGAATGCGGCTTGACAAAGATCTGATAATGATTGAAATATAAGGCGCACCACTGGCAAGGTAAATAAGGGCGTTGCATCTCTGATACGGCTGACGCCACCTGATGGAGGCCTCAGTAGTGAGAGCAAACTCGATTATGCTGTACGGAGCTCCTATATATAACAAGGCATCGAGAAAAAAGAAATACAGACAGCTAATATTGAGAAGGCAGCGAAAAGTCGTACTGCGCTTACAGAACCGTGCCGACCGATGCACTGCTGGTGGTGGCTGGTATCCCGCCAAGCGATTTGCTGGCTGTGAAGAAATGTGCGCTCTATAAAATTCAATTTTCATTTGGATGAAGAGCCGATGCCATTCGTAAAATAACGCTGATTTATTCTTTTAATGATTGGCTCTAGAAAATACGTGTCTACCCATGATCGGCCATAACTTTGTTGATTATAGTTAGTCCAGCTAAAAATACCTTTCCTTCGATGGAAGGAGGAAGAATTGGGTTTGCGGTAGACGACTGGTTGAGAAGGTGTATCAGGCCTTCATTTGGTTTGCAAATTTTGGGATCACCAGTTTACAAAATAGAACCCTTTTTCCTACATACCTTACGTTTAGTAGTTAATTCAAGTTTAAGTTAAAATAATATAATGCGTGATTTAGGGTGTCAAGCTGCTAATGGCACCTGGATTGGCAGAAAAGCCCTCGTTTCGCGGTATTTTTGACAAGTGCAGGAACAAAACCCTGAGTTGATTCCAATTCTAGGCCACAACATTGGTTTTACTCATCAATGACGGAAGAAAATTTTAAAAGTAGAGCGATGTGCCTTTCACATTCCATTGTAAGCAGGTCCGCCGCCGCCCTCGGGAACGACCCAGTTAATGTTCTGCGTCGGATCCTTGATATCGCACGTTTTGCAGTGGATGCAGTTCTGAGCATTGATCTGTAACCGCTGTCCTTCGCCGCTTTCATTTGGCACGAATTCATATACGCCTGGAACATGATTAAAAAGAAACTACTATAGGAGGCTTCAGGAGGCTTATAGCTATATTCATTGCTGAACGCATTGTACCTAGTAGTAGATAGTCAACCAAATACTATATTCGCGCGTCTGAAAAAGTTATACGAGACGAAATGATATATTCAGTGACATTAGAAGTGCTAAACTCAGAAAAAATAATTTCTTCAACTTGATTTTTTGGTAATGAGGTAGTCTTACATTAAGAATGAAACGATAACATTCTCACGAAACTTTATTGCAAATAAGAAAAAAAAGTAATAGTTTCAGATTTAGATTTATTTATTTATAGTTCATATTACATAAATCATATGTATGACAACTCATATACAATGTGTTTGGTCACGACATACCGATATTTTTAAGGGGGGTATTTTTCAGCTATTTTTATCGACAAATCCACCCCCCCAACAATGTCCTACCTCACCCCTCTTGAAATGGCAGCCATTTTTATTTTTACGATACGATTACGCTAGTGCATGTATGAAAATTGTAATAACTGAGAACATAAGTGTCACAGAACGATAAATTTGGTGTCAATTGAACAACAGCATGTTGTTCTAGCGATTGTTGAAAAACTTGTATTGATACTTACCGTCAAACATACTTAAAAACAGAGAGAAACAGAAAAAGATATGCAAGAAAATTGATTATTTTGTGCATTTCCGCACACCATTCAAAAACTAGTTTGTGAAGTTGTACTTTTTCGTGATAATTCTACAGCTAACTATGTTATCCACAAAATGACACCAAATTTCCCTATGATTTTGTAAGTGTAGTATTTTTTTTAATTCTTAAGCGATTTGTGATTTTGATACCTCATTTGAAAGGTAATGAAACGTAAATGTTTTCTAATTATTTTGTACGAAAAATTTGTATGCGACTTTTTCTAGTAAACTGAAGCTTTTGAGATGAACGAAGATTTTTTAACAAAAATCGAACTATTTTGAAGCTTACTGCATGAGATAACGTGAATAATGTACATTTAAGTATCAATTTTCGTATTTTAGAATATTTTTATTGTAAAACAAAAAAAAGTCAAATGAAACACCCAATTTTCAAGTTTTATGACTTGGTTAACGTATAAAGGACGTTCATTTTATAAAATCTTAAAAATTAGTATAATTCGAAAACGGCTAATTTTCGGACAGTAGTTCCTATAGTAAAATCGACTCAGATTGGCTTGTACTATCTCCCCCCACCGGCTCCGCATCTATTTTCCTGTCACCTTGTATAACATGCATTACGACACTTCGACCAAATTAATAATTACTTCTTCAGAAATTAGAACGGCTGGCCTCAATACCGTGTGACAAATTAAACATTTTGCTTTTCCATCAGTATTTACAAAAAAATAGGCTTCTTCCATGCAGGATTGAATGACATCGTTTAAAAAAAGATGTACGTTAAGACGCTAAAAAACCTGTCCCTTTGTTTTGTCCTATTAAGAAATGGCCCGCGCCCGAGAGATAGTCGGCTAATATGTTTCTCTCTGTCGCGACGGCTGTGCGGTGCCGCTGGAGTTGGAGAGGCCTGCTTTAAATAGTCATTATGTTGGCAAAAAACAAGTTAAATAAATTATTTTTTTTCCGGGTGTAACACTTCTAATGTCACTGAGTATATTATAAATACTAGGGGCCCTAGATTTGATCCCTGACTAAGCAACGAATATAAAAGACATTGAAATAGTTAAACTCACCAGCTGGACAGAATCTTCCTTCAGGACCATCATAAACGTCGAGGTTGACTTTCGTAGGAACGGTATCATCATACAGGGTGAGATGAGCCGGTTGATCGCCCTCGTGGTTCGTACCAGTCAAAGCAACCGACGATAACAGATCGAAGCTGATTTTTCCGTCGGGCTTAGGATACTCTATCGGCTTGCATTCCTTGGCCGGTTTCAAACGCTTGTTGTCAGGATCTGAAAAAAAGTCAGGCTTCACTGGTTTGGCCTTTTTGTCAGGTATTATTGATATACAGTTAAATTCCCCTTCGCCGTCACCTCCTTTAAACGGACAGTTTCTCATGATCCCGACCGATTCTCATATAACTTGCATAGTTACAACTCTCTCTTGAACGGATGCGGACACGTGAAAATGTCCTCCTAACCGGACAAAAAACAAAATAAAAAGAAACGCTTTGTCTTATTTTTTTCTGTTGAGAGTATCGCTATTGCATTTGTCAATATTGCCGCGCGCCATCTTCGCGTGGATTAGGGACTTCCCCGAGTTGGTCGGGGATTTACCGTTCTTATTATCTGGCAGTGTTGCCGTTTTGCAAGTAATCGGTGCTCTGAAGGAATTTGCAAGTAATTAAAGCGATATTGATATTTTATGGATTCAAACACCGTGAGTCAATCAGTCGGCAGATTTTTGTTGTATTTCTTTTGTACGGACACCACTCTTGAACGGACACTTTCAGTCGGTCCCTTTGGTGTCCGTCCAAAGGAAATTTCACTGCATATTTGAATAAAAAAATCAGTCTCATCACTTAATGTACAGACCTCTAACATATATACTGTTGCCTTACCTCCATGGCTGAAAGTCCAAGGCTCAAGTCCTCTCACAGCTACAGTGAACCCACTATAAACCAGTCCTCCGTACAATCCGAATGGATTGTGGAAACTCGGCCTGACGTTCCTCACAGCTTTCAACTCTTTCCAAATCCAACTATTTTTTATTTTTTCTTCATATATAGTTGGCTGGAAGCCTTCAGTCTCTTGTTTTTCTCCATTGATAGTTTCGTATACGCTTTCGGCAGCTAACATTCCACTTTTCATTGCGTTGTGGGTGCCTTTGATTTTTGGCACGTTCAAAAAACCTATAAGGTTAACAAATAAGCCAGATTGCCATCTGAAATTTCTGACATTTTATCCTGTATTAATGTTCGCCGTTAATGTTCAAATTCACATTCTTTTTACAAAAAATATAGCGATACCAAAAACAAGATGTCAGCAAAAAATATTAGAAATGGAAATGTTTAAACATTTTTAGATATTGAATCTACCCTTTACTCGCAACATTTCCTCAGTTACACCCTGTATATTACCTGCGGTATCTCCGACCAAACAGCCGCCAGGGAATGTTAGTTTTGGTATACTTTGAAAACCGCCTTCTACTAGAGCTCTGGCGCCATATGCTACTCTTGTTCCGCCTTCAAATACTGGCTTTACTGATGGATGGTGTTTAAACCTACAAGCACAGAACGTCATATACATACACAATAAAATAGAAAAAACAAAGGGCAAAAAGAAGGAAAGTGGATTCGAGCAGAAAATTGGATAGGCAACGCGAGCAATACGTATTTTTGATAATTGGCTTCATCAGGTCCGAAATGAATGCACATATGCAACTACAAAAGTAGACATAAGGTGTCTAATTTTGCTTGAGCAAATTCAAAACAATTGTAAATGAAGTTTTATGTACCTAGAACATGTCAAAACTTGCATATTAGACGCGCGATAGTTTACGTATTGTATCGCTCGTTTGTTTTATTAGTAAACCCACTGTTTTCGTTCAGTCAACATGTCGAAAGGATTATTAGAAACCCTTAGCAATTAAAAAAAACACAATCGGATTTGAAAGGGTTGTTGATTAATTAATTATTACAACTTTTTAATTTCACGTCTTTGAATCTATACAGGGTGTCCGCAAAGCTGGAGTTTTCGTTTACACGACGTGTAGACCTTGAAAAAATAAGCGGATTTTCTTAGTCTTAAGAGAACCGAGATATTGTGCTCCGCAAACTCAATCAAAGCTGAACCAAACTGAAGCCGGTCCTATTCCTCGATCACGTCTTCAGCGCCGAAGCCAGCGTACCGTTATACGACGTACGACTACGATGTAATACGCTAGTATGCAACCTAACTTAGACCATTACATTGGTAACCGTTTGCTGTTAAAAAAATAAAAAAAAATATGACGACCCCGAATGGTGCAAACTGAGGAAGAAGTACTGAATCTCGTAGACGAGAATCATTCGACAAGCACTAGGGACGTGGCTAGACAAGTGCAAGTGTCGAAGACTAAAGTGTGGCAAACACTGCACTACTCATGTGTGGTCAGTAGAAAATCCTTACTTTCAACAAACATTTTCTGGTATGGTAAATGGTATTTGATGCAAGTTCCAGGAATCATATCTACATAACTATGCTTAATATTTTTCATGACGAAATGTATTTTTCGATAATTCTTCTTACCTCTGGAACTCCCTGAACGGACTCAGATAAGGATTGCTATAGTCCAGTCCCACCACGAATCCTACAGCCACCAATGGCGTATCTTCATTCAGATGGTACAAAAATGAGCCGCCATACGTGTGAGGATCTAGCGGCCATCCGAAAGTGTGCTCCACTCTACCGGGATTATGTTTTGCTGGATCTACCTCCCAAAGCTCCTTCACACCTAATCCGTACGTTTGACTGCCTTCTCGCAAACTGAACTTTTTTATTATCTGTTTGGTCAGGTGTCCGTGACACCCTTCCGCAAATATCGTACACTTAGCGTGAAGTTCCATACCTAGATGCAAAAAATAATACGAATTGGTATCAATTGGAATCATTACGAACTCTTAAATGTGGGAGATTATCTTAACTTGTTGCAAAATGAAATAGGAGATTTCGTTGATGGTTTGCTCGTGGCTGACAATAGGGATGTTGTATTTCGACAAGATGGGACGCCCGCCCACAACAGCAGAAAAGTTACAAGATAATAACAATAATCTTCTCTGTACTCAAAATTCTACAAAATTAGTCAAAAAGCCAAAATTGGATCTACATTATCAAGACCAAAAAATATTTCTCTTGGTATACCACAAGGTAGTAAACTAGGTCCACTACTATTTATTTTATATATTAATGACATTTGTAATATTTTAGATTATTGTAAACTTCAGATATTTGCAGATGATACATTAATATACATATCAGATGAAAATATAGACACTGCTTTAAAAATGATAAATTCTGACTTGGCAAAAATCGTAAATTGCTTAAATGTAAATAAACTAAAATTGAATACTTCTAAAACAAAATGTATGCTAATAGGGGAATACCTAAATGAAAATACTATCACAGTTAGGATAAATGGAAAAATAATTGAAAATGTTGAATTAATTAAATATTTAGGTATATATATATTGATAGTAAACTAAAGTTTGAGGATCACTATGAATACATTATTTAAAAAATTGCCAAAATAACGAATTACTTTTATAGGGCTTCTCATAGTCTTGGTACCTATTCCAAGAAAATAGTTTATAATACAATTATTCCACCGCATTTACTTATTGTTCAACTATCTTGTTCACTGCCAATGAAGCCGTATTCTCAAAATTACAAGTCTTGCAAAATAAAGCTATGAGAAGAATATTGAATAAAATAAGTACACCAACATAAAATCTATGTTACAAGAATTGCAGTGGCTGAATATTAAAAATTTCATATTATATTTGGTTCATATTTTTATATTTAAAATAAAAAATCATCTGTTGCCAGAACATTTAGAACACTACATAGAATTAAATAATCATTACCACAATTATTATACAAGAGGAAATATAGATTTTCATTTAAAAAAAATTGCAATAGTAATATAACTAGCAAATCAATATTTCAGAAAGGATTACTTGAATTTAATAAACTAAATAATGATATAAAGTCTACTTGTAATTTAAAGATATGTAAAAGAAAATTAAAGGAATATTTCATGGATAATGAAAATTCTTAGAGATGCTAATTTTGTTTTTTTCTGATTGTCTGTATGTTATGTAATTGTTTAGTTTTTTAGAAGAATGTAATTGTAGCAATCATGCTAAATAAATCTTAAAGAAATCTACTAATAGAGATATTGCACTAAATTACTACCACGTTATTTATTACCTCTTTCAAAACTCTCCTTCGGGCTCCCATCCTTCGCTATGCCGACGTCGTTCGTTGCTATGCCTTTCACGCTACCATCTTCGTGGTAAAGCACCTCTGAGGCAGCATAGCCCGGGTAGATTTCCACGCCCATTGCTTCGGCCTGTTCGCCCAGCCACTGTACCACGTGACCAAGGCGTACAATGTAGTTACCGTGGTTATACATTGGTGTACCTGTAAGAAAATCATTATCAACATTTCAGAAACCGAACTCGAATCGATATCAAATAAAATGTTATCCAGCATACACTTATTTATAAATCCTTCTGCACAATTTCTTTTACAACAATGTTCATATTTGGCTTGCTTGAACGTTTCAAAAAAATAATCATCGTAGTTTTCCTTGTCCGTATGAATTGTCAAATCGTCGTGGATGACTCTATATAAAATACATGCAAATAGAAAAAAATATCAAGCATAGTTATGTAGATATGATTTCTGGAACTTACACCAACAATTTCAAAATTCATTGAGAAAATAAATGCACTTTTGTAAGGATGTTCCTGAGGCACCAGTTCATTTAGGGATAGAATTAAAGCATAGCTCAAATAACATCGAAGAATTTTCAAGTAATAGTTTTTCGGATCTCTTATAATGGTGTTGTAGTGTGGTTGTTTACTTTTACTCTGTTTGTTAATTTGTTTGCATGTGCTTGTTCTATAGTTTTGTATTTATTATTTTACAATTTCTTCTGTTAATGTTGTTCTATCCAAGAAATTTTATTGTTTTGTGAATTTACCCTTTTATATTTTGACTTCTACTTTGACCTTTGTGTAAGCACGCAAGTGTGTTAAGCACCAACCAAGAAATGAAAAGGAAAAACGCTAATTACAATGCAACTTAGAGGAATTCCTATCAAAGTATTATATCAAAACGCACCTGGAAACACGGGTATATTGATCCTTCCAGTCTCTGTCAGATATCCAAACTTATCCTCGGTGACAGGTGTTTTTAGTGGCGCCCCCTTTTCCTGCCAATCGGGGATCAGCTCGTTCAAGGCGTTCGGCTGTATGACAGCTCCCGACAGTATGTGGCCTCCTACCTGGGAAGCTTTCTCGACTAACGTCACCCTCAGCTCCTTCCCATCTTGTTCAGCCAGCTGTTTTGCTCGAATTGCGGCACTCATCCCGGCTGGACCGCCGCCCACTATCAAAATGTCCGTTTCGTCTGCGAACCTTTCCATCTCGATCTCTGTGAAGAGTATATAAGTTGTTAACTGATTGTTAGAGTGTCCCAAAAAAATTAAAGTCATGTTTTTCAAACGCATACCCTGTAATTTTATATATATATATAACTTGAGACGTGGTCATTGTCGTCTAGACCAGTTAGGTGAAAAATTAAAGCTTCCGCCTTTTGTTGGGTACTTCAACAAAAATTAAGCAAAGAGGACTCTTTATACTTTTTTAATTCTCTCTAGCTTTCAATGGACTTTGCCATCATCATCAGGAGAGTAGTATGTGAGGATGTTGCTAATTGTTGTTTACGTATAGGATGAAACGTCCAGTAACATGGTGAGAGCTGGATAGATGGTACAATGGTCAAAATTATATAAAATATGACAAGAACAAGTTAAAAACAGATTAAAAATTATTTAAAAAATGTTTTTTAAGTGCGCAAATATTTCGATAATTTCAACTCTTTCTGCTGTGGAATATACCATGGTTAATTTATGTAATAAAGAGTTACAAGTTATTTTAGCAACAAAGTTTGGTCAAATCAATCGCAAACTATGTACTAAATTCCTATTTAAAATAAGTACAATATATTTCCTTATCTTTCTTAAAGAAATAACTTTTTAGCCACAACGCTCCAATAGCCATTTTCAACAACAAAATAATAAACAAACCATGGGCGTAGTGAAGAATTCTTTTAGTCAAATTTCTTCTGAAAGTAATCTGATGTTCCTATTAAAGTGTACTTTAAGCTTTAAATCAATAAATCTTTCAAAACTATTGAACTGAAGCTCATGTATTTTACATCATTATAAAGGGAATTGAAAGACCTTCAAAATAAGGAATTACTCGACCCCCTTTTCCATTTAAGATTTTTGGGGTTGGTGTCACCCCCGCCCAGGGGGCTGCATGTGTTAACGTGATTTTTTGCCAAACTTGTGTCCCCCTCGAAAACAAAATCGACGGGTCTGAGCGTTTTAAAAAAAAAACTTAGCTGCTAGTAAATTCGTCTGTTTCGTTGTCGATGCGCCACCCTGTATACTAAAATTCAGCTATATTTACCTTTCCATCTTGGGTCATTCTCCCTTGGGTATACTGTGTAGTGGGTTGTTATTTTTGGAAACTGCTGGTCAGAGAAATGACGAGTTGCTATTTGGATTTGTTTTGCTAAAAAAGAAAAACAAGTTGTACTTTGAGTAAGGTCCAAAGGTCATAATTATCGAGACTCGCCTAAATATGAATGTTTATTACAGTTATACAAGGAAAATAGTATTTTATTAACATGAAGGTTCTCCTAATTTGACTGATAGGTTTAAAGAGAAGTAAAAAACATATGTTTCGTTTTTTTTTTATTAGTCTGACACTTACCTACTTTGAGCGTTGATTTGAAATTCATGGCTAATTAGATTTATTTTATTATCATTCAAACGCTTCTCCCTAAATTTTATGTAATTCCAAATCTTAAAATGTCCTTCCTGAATACATTTAAATTTTCAAATCTTGTCAGCAATGGTTTCACAAATCACAACAAAATCAGCTCTCATAACCTTAAAATGTACTTTGGTCGAACCCCCACCACATGAATTTCCCCACTGTTCAAACAGCCAATCCGAAGATCCGATCGTCACACAGAGACGGACTGAGCCTAAGATACAAAATTCATAAGATTTTTTCCAACCTTGAGTTTCGGTATCGTACCAAAACCATCCGGTTTTCCGCTTATCATTTAGTACGCTTTTATACGCATGACTGGTCATGATACCAGAGTTATTTCTGGTGCGGAAGGTCGTTGGAGCGATTTTAGAACCATTTTTGTAGCTAGAAAATGCGCAATAAAAGCTGGGCAATATCAAAAACACGGCTGTGTGTCCGATAGGCTTATCAGAGCAAGGTTTCAGTTTGATTCGATGTTAGGAGCAATCACCTGACAGCAGCTTCACTGCGCTACTGCGCAGGTCAGTTCCTTTAATTCCCCTTTCAAAGTAGGCACCGAGTTCATTGTACAAAACCATTCCGGAACGATCCCAATATTGGTTGGAACAAAACGTTGAACGGTCCCGTTACGATATCGAATACTGTGGGAACACTGTTTCCAAAATGCGCATGCGCAACGTTATAGAACGATTTTCCGACGGATCGGAACAAAACTATAACAAGGAAATTATCATCAACCACCATCACCAGTAGCATTACCATGGCTTAGCATAGACTGCACGGATCTAAGGATGTACTGTAGTAGATCTAAAGCAAAGAGCAGTGATGACGTTCGTCATCCAACCCTTTGTTGCGCGAGTCAGTAGACTACACAGTCGAGCAAGTTCGCAAGCACACAAGGCCGCGACTCGCACTGTGAACAAAATTAAATCGTGCGACTTTAGGTCCAACCAAAATTATAATTTACTTTACTTTAACCAAGAGCAAAGGTCGCACGGACCGCTCTGACAGACAATGACGAGTAGAGACGTTCGTCTCGTTTATCATTTTCTCAGGACTAAATGCCCAGTACGATCCTGTACCGTCACAAAACTATCAGCACATACTTATCAGAATACGTGTGGGGTGTGGGATACGTCACGACAGCGCTCTTTAGCATTGCCAGACGTAAGATAATTATCGTCTATGTACAATAATTTCAAGTACTGTACTATGTACGATAATAGTTAAAATAATAATATAATTTTTCGAATGAGGTTTTCTACGGTAAAATTCTAACTTGGCTAGGCCAGTTTGATGCAAACACGATGAAAGAAAAACTGGAAATTTCTGAAATACTTTAATACCTTTCTTTTGAAGCCGGTAACTTAGCAAATAAATGTACCTCAAAAATAATCAAGTTTTCTCTTTCACACCTACTAGAAACAGGCCCAATATGAACGAATTTTAAAACCTCATTTTTTTCGCTATCCGCTTCACGTAAAATGCCGCTTATTTCTCGCGATGAATTTGGCAACGCTGCCGCTCTTCAGAAATGTCTTCACTGACCTTGTCATGCTTGTCATTCTCAATTTCTCAGATCGCTGCAGTGCTGCCGAACCTACCGATTTTTCGGTAGTTCTGCTGAAATACTGAAAACGTCCACATTTTTCACGCTTTTTATACAACTCAAATATTTCCAAATAAGAGCTGGATCCAAAAATAAAGCATATGTATTCCGCTTCTCCTATTCCAGTCATACCGATCTGTATTCTCTATTCAATTTTGTGCATACAATAGAGCTACTTTCCAGTGTCCTTGTTGAGTTACTCTAAGTAACTGCGTTGTTTTTGGAGCAGTTTGGGAGCGTATGACTCTCAAACTAAAAACCACTGGAAATCGAGGCTCGTCTGTTTTTACTCAAATATTACATTAAAATGTCTGTTGATGAAGCTTCAAAGTCAGAGCTAAAACGAAGAAAATATCCACAACCCTGTCAGAGGCGGAGTTTCCTGGACGGTTGCAAGGAAGTTTAAACAGCGACCAGTATGCTCATAGTACAAGTAATAAAAAAGTTAATTGTTTTTCAGGAAAAGATGTGTTGTGTGTGCGTCCGTAATAAAAAAAATATACTTTTCTTCACATACGTCGGTGCGTGACGTAAAGTCAGTTACTTGGTCCATCACTGATTCTGGACCGACCCTGACTGTTTCTTCCTAGATTTTGTTCTCGAATCTACAGAATTTCAACATCACTATCTACCGATTACGTCTTTCAAGGTGCCAAGGTGCTTTCAAGGTTCGGCATTCGGCAACACTGGACCACTCAGACCCTTCAGAGTCAAGTCCGAAAATTACGAAATGAAATATGATTTTCCACAAAAGTACGTTATAGAATCAATTATCATTTAATTTTCATGTATCCGTTTAAGTAAAGAGTTTGCAATAACCATCTAGCTTTTCGACTGGGAAACGTAAGTGTTGATATTTTTCATTTTGAGGTTATGTCCGGAACTTTAAAACGTGATTGATTTTTGTACTTTTTTAGAATAAATTTACGTAAACATGCATAGGCTGCGGAACTCGTTAATTCGTCAGTCAACAAGCTTGGTGAGTTGATAAAATATATATTTTTCCATAATCATTTGAACACGTCTTTCCGTAGGTACGACACTACTCTAGAGACCCCCAAAGGCGGCCGTCGTTTCTTTCTAGGTTATATGATAATTTCAGGGAAGAAATGGCAAAAAACAAGGAAATGAAAGAATCGTTGAAGAAATTCAAAGAAGAAGCAGAGAAGCTAGAACAGAGCGATGCTTTAAAAGCAGCTCGTCAAAAATTTGAACAAGTCGAGAAGGAGGCAAGTAAAGGTGGAGAAGTTTTTAAGGAAAGTCTCAGTTCTATTAAAGAAAAAGTACAAGGTGTCATTGACGAAGCCAGTAAGTCAGATATAGCTAAAAAGGCTAGCAAAATTACTGAGGAAGTTGGGAAAACGACACACAAGATTAGTGAAAAAGCTCAAGAAATTGGTAAAACAGGAGCTTTTCAAAGTATCTCACAAGCAACACAAGCTGTTAAGAAAGAAATAGATACCACTAGTATGGCAGGTGATAATCCATATTATATAATTACTGATAGTGATAAATCAATATATAATATTATATATTAATATAATTTAAGATGAATATTTTATATGAATGTATGTCCTAAGCATATTAAATTTTGAGATACAGTGGGGTAAAGTTTTTAAAAATAAATCGTTTATTAATATCAAAAAAAACAGCTATATGTAGTGTAGTATCCATCTCAAACATCATCATTATGTGAATTTTATTACTTTATTTGAATTGCCTTTGAAAACTATTCTCTGTCTAAATATTATAAAACTGTATAAGTTTTGGAAAAATCATATATTTTTTAGGCAGTGTTTACGTAAGCCCAAAGAAATTAAGGAAAAGAACAGACACAGGTGCGGTTGTACACCAGAAGTATTATGAACCAAACACAGATGCAACTGGTGTCGAGCTGCATAAAGATTCTAAGTTTTACGAGTCATGGCAAAACTTCAAGAACAATAATCCATATGTTCACAAAGTCATGGATTGGAAACTTAAGTATGATGAAAGCGAGAATCCTGTAATTAGGGCATCTAGGGCACTAACCGAAAAAGTTGGAGAGGTAAAAATTATAATTTGCTGTAAATTATTACAAATATTTTTTGTGTGTTCAAGATTTCAAGAATTTTCACTGTCCATGAAATATTCTAAATTCAGGTAATCCTTTCAGAAATATTGATTTGCTAGTTATATTACTATTGCAATTTTGTAAATGAAAATCTATATTTCCATTTGTATATTAATTGTGGTAATGAATGAATTCTATGTAGTTTTATATATAATCTGGTTTTTTATTTACATCACTATATATATGTATATATAGAGTGGTTGAAGTTTTAGAGCCAATAGAAAATTTCACCACCAATTTATCTTTCTCCTTTCATAACTTTTCCCATATAAATTCAGAAAGTTTTCACCAAATTGTAAAGAAATCTATTGCCTTTCTGGGTCAGGTTCAAATTTTTTCGAATCGCCATTGATATCGTTTTTCTACAGTGATGAAGAAAATGAAAACTTTTGGCTTAAGTTAAGACATGCTGTATAATAATTTTAGGCTCTACTCTCTTGAAATACAGTGTCAGAGCCAAAGTAATCAGTGAAATTGGGTAGAAAATTAAAAAAATTATGAAATTACAAATTTGACCAAAATTTTGTTTGTTTATTTTGAACATGAGTGTATATGAATACGTAATTTTGGGACACTCTGTCTCTACGTTAATAAAAATCGCTAACCTTTCAGGTTGTAGGCGGATTGTTTCAAAAGACAGACTTATCGGAAACTCTCACAGAAATTTGTAAGCTAGACAACGCGTTCGATACTAAACGATTCCTCAAGCAATGCGAAACAGACATAATTCCAAATATACTAGAAGCCATGACTAGGGGAGACTTGGAAGTACTAAAAGACTGGTGTCATGAAGGTCCTTATAACCTGTTTGCAATTCCCATTAAGGAAGCTTATAAAAAAGGATACAGGATAGAATCTAAGATCCTTGATATCGATAACGTGGACTTAGTTATGGGAAAAATTATGGACCAAGGTCAGTGTTAGGATAGAATTATATGTTTAAAAATTAGGTGAGAATATTGTATTGGATCCTCAGAAAAATTAGAAACACCTTGAAATTGGTACGAAAATCAATATTTAGCCCATGCCTGCTAAGAATACAGAGCGTAGTTTAATATTCTCTGTATGACAGTCTAATCATATTAGCAAATTTCCCTGAAATAATTGTAAAGTCCGGTTTTATTGGTGCAAGTCGTTCAAGGGAGTATTCAAAACATGGACGCATAAAATGGGTACACGAATTTCTGTGTAAAAACTTTTTATTTGACAGCAAAGAATGAGAAAACGTGTTTTTTGAGATCCAATCGAAAGTGTTGGCAGGAACGAAAAAACTCTACATATAAGATTTTTAGGTGTTTACTAGACCTACAAAATTAGACCACACGTGACTAATAGCAAAAATGTTATGGCCGAAAAACGAGGCAAAATGCAGGTTTTGGCACTTTCAATTCTTCAAATCCTTAGGATTTATACTAGTAAATAACAACAACAAAATTGGAGTACTAATTGGTCACGTAGTTTTTTGAGAATTTCTAATTGTGTGTCCCAAAACACTACTAATTTATTGAGCAATGTACAAGGTTCGTTCAAAGAGCACTTAATAGCAAAATACATGTGTTGACCTTGCCAATATGAATCACAAACCATTCCGAAAGATAAATGTTATTTTTATCCGAAAAACAAAGGTGATGTTTTTTTCTTCTAAACAAATTCAAACATTTCGTATTTGTGAGTAATTGAACAAACGCGCTACGATATTCTAAAAACATCGTTCTTATACACATTTTAAAACAAAGGGGATGTGTTTATCATCTTTTGTTGCGAATTGCTCACAAATACGAAATGTTTGAATTTGTTCAGAAGAAAAAACGTAACCCATCCTTTTTTGCATAAAAATAACATTTATCTTCCGGAATGGTTTGCGATTCACATTGGCAAGGTAAACTATTGTATTTTGTTATAAAATTCCATTTGAACTGACCCTGTATCTTGATCAGGTGTTTGTTGAAGGTTTATTCAACATTAATGCTACAATGTCAATTTTCTATAATTATATATATATTGAATCAATTTTCTGCAGTTTTATATTCTTGTCTATTAAAATTACATCACTACGCATTTTGAGCATTCATACAGTAACTTTTTAATTTTGTCTTAAAAATTTTTAAATTTGAACACTGTTTACTAATATTAATCAAATAATCTCTTTCGAAATTAAGATTTGTTAGTTATGCTGCTATTCCGGTTTGGAGACGAAAATCTACTGCCTCTATGTTCGTAGTTATGATAGTTACCATTTAATTTTGTAAGGTTTCCTAAATGTGGTGGTATTGAATGATTTTTTTTTAATTTGAATATGAAAATGAGAACTAAATAATGTATGATTTTTTTTACATTCAGCTACTGTAGTTCTTCAACATAGACTTAATCCTAGCATATTTGTTTTTATTTAAAATGATTCTGATAGGTTTATTTTGTAGAATTTGTGATTTTTCATTTACTGTAAACAAGATGGTTGAACAACATAAAAAATGGGGAAGAATTTTTTTGGAATACATACTGAGATTATGGGTAACTCTATACAAATCTTTTTTGATATTTTTGCAATAATGTATTTATAATGCTCTTGAAACAGTTCATCATTAATCATATTGTCACCTAAATGTTTCCTTATTGAAATAAATTTTGTTTTATTAGTGCTTAATTTAAGTTCATTATTTTTTTAGTATCACTATTTAACAGTTTTAAAGCAGTGTGCAAATGTTTAAGTGCTATATATATCAATGTATCGTCCGCAAATATTTGAATTTTGCAGTGTTCTAAAATGTCAGTGATATCATAAAAATAGTAGCGGCCTTAATTTACTTTTGATATATTAGTATAAAGATTGGGGATTGGGAGTTTCTGACGATAAGAATTCGATCGTATTTGTGTCAAAACAGCGTCATTCAGGTCCGTAACAAGCGCCATTTACATAATAGGTTGAAAATAGAATGTAAATAATCGAATTATCATCCTAGGAAGCTTCTAGTTCCCAATTTCAAAAACAGCTCGAGCTGAAAAGAAAATCGATTTTGTAAATTAAACTTCGAGACGCTGTATCTCACTAAGGAGCGACATTTGACTAGGACATATTTGCAAGAATAGTTGTATACCTTATTGCTTGCAAATGTCTAACATATTCTAGCCATAGCTTAGATCACAATCAGCTTTGAAACTCTCCTGTCAGTGTCTAAAACGGCCGCCCCTTTTTTAAAACGATGAAAGAGGTTTTTTGTTCAGCAGCAGCCGGGGTTTCCGCATACCAGCCAGCCCCTTCCATACCTCCTTGCGTTTCTGCTGTCATAGCAAATTTTATCCGTGAGAACAATTTTGGCTCAATGAATGATTTTCAGCCGTCAACAACTCTGTGTCAGGATAGCAGAGGCAGCGAGAGGCGTTTATACCGGCAATTTAAATTTCCGCTTTTCATGGTAGTAGGAACATATGCACTGCGTAATCGTAAAAATTATAGTATGCCGATATGATCTAGTGTGGTTTGTGTAAAAGGAGTATGTTTGTTTAAAAAGAAGGAACGATGTATTGATGACTATTTATAAAAAAGCTGTAAAATAAATATAAGAAAATTAAGGGAGCAGGGAAAAATGTCTTGGTGATCATTTTGAAGCTTTAAGATCCTAGTTTTAAGGCGAAAAATTTAAGGAGCAACGATTTGCATGCAATTCTAACAGATAGCGCAAGAAAAAAAATTTGCAAGAGTTTTTGGCGGCTGAAAATCATTCATTGGGGCAGAATTCTTCTTAAAATATATAAACTGCGTGGACAAAATTCGCTATCAAGATGACAGTGGTACATGAACAGCGGTAATTCAAATTGCTGGTATAAACGTCTCTCGCTACTTCTGCTGTACTGGTACAGAGTTTTTGGCGACTGAAAATCATTTATTTGTGCAGAATTCTCAAAATTTATCACCAGCGCGGACAAAATTTGCTACCAGCATAATAGAAACGCGAGGAGGCATAGAAGACGTGTAGGTTCCTACTACCGTGAAAAGCGGAAAATCAAATTGCTGGTACAAACGCCTCTCGCTACCTCTGCTATCCTGATACCGAGTTTTTGGCGGCTGAAAATCGTTCATTTGTGCAGAATTCTTCTCAAAATTTATCACCCGCGCGGACAAGATTTGCTATCAGGATAGCAGAAAACCCAAAACCCCTTTCATCGTTGTACTACAGTATATTCAGATAAGAGATAGACCGGACATAAACAAGACCACGTGATCATCGAACGCTGTAACATTTGGCAGGGACGTATTAAGAGTCACGCAGTACATATTTTAGATAGTAGATGCTGCTTTGCGTAACTTTGTAGTAAATTAGCACAATTCGATGTGTATACGATTGGTGATGGATATAGGATCATGTGGGGGTGGGGTAAGAAATATATAATGATGTAAATATACATAAGGGTTTCAAAATTTTCGCTTCGATTTCCAGCTTCGGATGCCGCCTGATGTTTGGTGAAATACAGTCGAATATAATCTCAAAATGGCGTTTAAATTAGCCTAAATTAAAAATAATCGTATATCTCTTAAAATTGCTTTTAGAATATTGATTAGTATATTTTTTGATTTCCAGGTAAATATGTAACCAAATTAAAACGTTCAAAACGTAAAAAAATGTGCATGGTTGAACATTGTCAGAAAGTAGATTCTTGAATAGGTTTTGCCAAAATGGGTTCAAAAATGTCAATAATTAATTAAAAAATACAGTAGCTTTATAATTACTTATAACTTACCGAATTTGATGAACGACATCTTTTATTGGAAAGATGAGCTTGATGAGCTTTCATCATCGCTACTGCCTGAAGCACCAACGTCAATAATGAATGGCTCGACTTGTTCCTCTAAAATATTGTCCAGTTCCCACATTCTCTTTTCAACTTTGTCTTTCACGTGCTTAATACAGTTTTCCCATTTTTGCGCTGTTATTAATTCTAGTGCTTCTTTGAAAAGTCCTTTGAGGTCACAAAATTTAAAAGTTGTATTGTGCTTAGCTATATAATTTTTAACCTCTGCCCATATGAGCTCAATGGGATTGAGCTCGCAATGGTATGGAGGTAAACGGAGCACAGTTTTGACTTGCTGCCATTTCGTCAATGGCGTATTTTTGATATTCCGCCTTGTGATCCTTGACAATTCTTAATAATTGTACTTTCAGCATTGCTTCTTCAAAGTTGATATTTTTCGAGCGGAGCCAATTTTGAACATCAACTTTCCTTGAAGCCTTCTCCATTCTTCGAGAATGATAAGGCGCATTATCCAACACAATTACTGCGTTTTCCTCTAAGTTCGGTAAAATTTTTGAAAACCACTGTTCAAACGATTCGCCATTCATTTCCTCGTAGTAATCTCCAGTTTTCTTAGACTCAAAGCACCACAGACCGTCAACAACAAATCCATCCTCACTGCCAATATGGCAGATAATGAGCCTTTTCCCTTTACCTGGAAATCGAAGTACTAACTGGTGTAGATTTATTTCAATAAGCGAACCTTTTTCAAATGTTTTCATCACATTCAGCGAAAAAACATTGAGACATGAGTATCAGATTGCTATAATTGGGATTATTTAGTCATATTGAAATAAAGAATATTGAACGTCGTATGATTACTCAGCGCTTCACAATTTAATTTAAAGTTATAAACCTTTAAAAAATGAATGATCAGGAACCTGAAATACGCGCAAATATTAATATTAACAAATTATAACTTTATAAAGCTTAAAGTATGAATTAAAATGATTAGAAATATTAGGAACGGTACACAATATAAAACTTAGTAACTTTTTTTAAGTTTATAATATTCGACATATTTTAAGATTATATTAAAAAATTATTGAAATATCGAAAACACATAAAAACATGGCTTAAAAAAATTCTAACAAATGAAAATGACAATAAAACATCCACGCATTTTATCGAAAGTTATAAAAGTTTTGTTACTTGTAATATGTTTTATCTGCCCCCTGGAATTAATGTTTAGAACCTTGTTCCCAAGGTTTGAAAAACATCCGATTGTTGTCTATTACTCGTATTTACCTGCTGGATTTTTTAATCCGGTGGACAGTCCATCTAGAAAGGCCCTCCTGGATGAAGTTACAGAATCATCAACCCATACTTTACTTGTAGTGTGTCCTGCGTTTACCCACGTTTCATCAAGGTAATAAATCTTCCTGTTTTGATTTCTATATTTCCCAATTTTTGTTAAATAATCCCTCCTCCATAGCACAATTTCTTCTCTATCCAGTAGTAAACTATTACGACCCCGTTTTTTCCACTTGAAATTTAAATACTTCAGTAACGCATGGAAAGTTAATCGTTTGAAATTTGGCAACGTTGTATCTCCATTTACCTCCTGCAATACTTTATCTATAGTAGGTATTTCATTCCTAAAGAAGAATTCATGCACTTTCCTCCTAATCGCATGCTTATCAGCTTCATCCAATGATTTAACAATACTTTTGCGATGTTTACTGGTCATTGGCTCAGAAAAGGTGTGATTTTTTTTGTATTGTCTTAACACATTAAACACTGATGCGCGACACACCCCAACTTTGTGAGAAACCTTCACAACAATTTCTTTGATGGTTGATGCCTCGTTCTCCTCGCGCTCGATCTTATATATATTCAAAATGACCTCTTTCATTTCTGCACTCAGGTGTCTTTTTTTAGAGCGTTTCCTAGGTGGACTACAGGAGTTTACAACTTCATCGGCAGTATCTGTACTACTGGGCATTTTGCGCAAGCAGTTGATAACAATAACAATCAATAACAAGGTATAACAATAACAACGACAAACTCAACAACTTAATAAGATAACAAACGAAAACGTCCAAAGAAATATCAAATTGCAATGATGCACACGACATACGTAACACGTCTGAACCTGAATGTGACTCTGCCTTGATACGACTGCTCTGCCGCTCGGCATAGGCATTTAATTGCGAATTGACCAATGAGGGCTCCTGTTTTACGTCGAGACGGCGGCGTTAGCGTGAAAATCACCCGAACCTTTTGTTTACATCCGGTCTATCTCTTATCTGAATATACTGTAGGAAAATTTTACATGCGACATCCTCCGCGGAAATGGCGACAGTTTTTGACACTGACAGGAAAGTTTCGTAGGTGACTGCTATTTAAGCTTGTCGCCTATACTGCACCCAATTACTAAATTACTATAACTTAGCATTCACAATATTTTTCAGGACCGGTACTGATCATATCGTTCACGTCCCAGCAAGTAATGGTAGTGAGGGATGTCCAGGGTAACATAGTGGAAGGAGATCCTAACAAAATTATGCGCGTTAATTATGTGTGGGTATTGTGCAGGGACGCCACAGAACCGGATCCGAGGGCCGCGTGGCGACTGCTGGATCTGTCAGCTAGCAGTAACGAGCAACTAGTTTAGGATATAAGTTGAACGAAATTACCAGGATAAATCTTTGCTCGCCCTTGTTGTTGTTAGTTAAAGGGGCGGGCTGACGATGGAAGGTTGCTGACTGAAGAAGGAAGGTTCTACTGATTACCTTCGAGGCGCGATGGATATGGCACCGAGGTGTTTGAACCGAGAACAGCAACGAACGCGGTTGAACAAATTTTAGGATAAGATCCGCCAATATATTTTTGTTATATTGTTGTTTTTATTTTTTAAATACAAAAATTGGATATCGATTTTGTTTTATTGCGGTGTAATTTTCGGTTTTAGATTTTGTTTGGATTGATAAAACACAAGTTGTAGTTTTATCAGGTAGAAAAGGAGTACAAAGGTACCGCGGTAAGTTTTTATACAAAACAAAGTCGTTTTTTAGTGTGCGGGGAGATAGGCTAGGTTATAATAAGCTGGAGGACAGTTGCTTTGCAATTTTATCCAAATTCAAATCTCGATAATTTCGGAACGGAAAGAGATTTCGAGTTGCGGTATTCGGGAGGTTTTTGACCAACTCTTTGAGAACACGTACAGGGTTCGATCGCTAATGTTTGGTTATCTACTTATACAGGGTGAGCAAAGGAAGTCAGGTTTTTTAGCAAAGTTTGGAGCTGTCAGATTCTCAATTTTGGATCTTGGACATTTTTCTATGCATCTTTTTGATCTTTGGACTATCCTTAATAAAAAGTGATTTCTCAAATTTTTCTAATATTGCTTATTACTCAAGTTATCGAATTTTAAAAAAAGGGGGACTTTTTGGGGTGTTTCTTGAGATAGGGTATTTTTTCGCATACTTCTGCAAAAAGTTGAATTTCTTAAACCCGAGAAAAGATTGAAGCACTCGGTGAACGTTTTTGCCTTCAGTGGCGTGCAGTAAAAATTTGTCACTTTGACATTGTGTAATTAAAACAAATTTATAAATTTTACTATGAAATGAAACAGCTTAATGAACAAATCCAAGTTACTACTCTTAATATAGGGGTGTATTCCAGTGGCGTAACACTAAAAGCATTTTTTTTTGGTTTAGTATGCTAATAACTTGGAAAATTTAATTTCTCAAAATGCTATGATGCTGGCCAACACTTATTCATCTATTCTGTTTGCCTACATATCGAAACGACGTGTTCTGAACAACTCTTAAAAATATCGGAATCATAAGTAATATCAAAATGTGTATTATCATGTGAGGAATATTTCAAACATAATTATTCCAGTTTTGAGTGAAAAACTTTCACTAATTAACCCGCTGAGTGGATGGTGCTGTTTTTTTTGTTTTGTTGCAAAATTTGACTTGTTTACGTTGAAGTTCCATAAGCGGGTAGATTAATTTTTTGCTGAAGGTTTCGGGATAAAGTGTGCTGGTTGTGTGAAAGATTTTGACCAAGATAAAGATGCCTTTCCATGTGACCTATGCAAGACAGTGTTTTGCTTGGGGTGCGGTGGCATCTGTTCATCTGAAGTATGTGATCTACAGCTAAAGAATAGTAGAATTTTGAAGTTTATATGCAAAGGATGCAAATTGGAACCAGCAACTACATCAAGCAGTTGGAGATATCTCTACTTCAGGAAATAATATCTTTACGCGCAGTTATTGATTACCAGGACGGGAAAATCAATGACCAGCTAGTTTTGATCAACAGAATGATGAACGAAATCTCTGAATTAAAAATGTATAAACTGAAACAATAATAATAAAGGAAAACAAGAAAGTGTGCTTTCCAAAAATGATCTCAAAGAAAAAACAATCCTAAATCAGTGGCGATCGCTGTGGAAAACGTTAAAAGTGGAAAAATGGAGCAGTTATAATAAACTGTAATAACATCAATTCCAAAGAAAAGATAATACAAACAGTAGAAGCAGAGCTCGGAAATAAGTACAGTGTAGTGGAAGAGAAAAAAAGCAACCGAAGATTATAGTAAGGGATGTTGAAGATTTTTTGTTAGAAGAAAATGATAAAATTATTGAAGCTCTAAAACAACAAAATCAAGGGGATGCACGATGGTCGTGCCAGGGTTAGAAGGCGACGTGGTGAAAGGAGGAATCCACAGTTTTTTGTTGAAAGACATGTTCATCACACTGTTGGAGTTATATTTTGGGGTGCTATAGCTTATGGTTCCAGGTCGCCTTTAATCTTCATCAGAGGTAACATGAACGCGCAGCGTTATATCCACGAAGTTCTAGAACCCTATCTTTTACCCTATCTTGACACCCTGGCAGATCCAACTTTCCAACAAGATAATGCCCGACCACATGTTGCAAGAGTCACAATAGACTTCTTTCAACATAATGATGTCACATTGTTACCATGGCCACCAAGATCTCCCGACTTATCCCCAATTGAGCACGTGTGGGATATGATGGGTAGGAGATTGCTCAATTTGCAACGTCCTTCTCAGACTCTAGGAGGACATTGACCCCTGATCAGAAGCATGCCTAGACGCGTTGGAGAATGCGTAGCACATCAGGGTGCATCCACACATTATTAAAGGTCAAAGGGCTTTAAAGCAGTGCAATCATTTTGAAATTTTTATCATTTACTTATTATGCTTCATTAAGTACTTATACAAAATTTTATTAAAATAAAACCATTTAAACTGGGTGTTCGGATTTATATGTCGAAACACATCAAAATACTTTTATGGGCGTTATGTAGCTGCCGCATGTCAGATGATACTCTAGTTTAACACCGTCTTTATTAAACATTCATGTGTTGCTCACCACCAGCTGAAACCATATATGTTGAATGGAATGTTTACTAGCGTTTCGGCCACCTCGGTTACATTAACTTTCTTATCGAAATTTGATGCAAACTGCATTTGAACTAGTAGTTAATATGCGTGGGTAAATGATAGATATGGACAGATAAAACATCGAAAACCTAAACATATTTATTTACAAAATTACAGCCATCATGTAAAACAGTGCGAGCTTGTCACCACCTACCATGAACTAAAATATTACATATAAATCAAACCATTCACAATAAGGTGGCTTAACAGCTCCAAATCTAAATACAGTATAAGAAAAGTTAAAAAAAAACAACACGAACAAAATAATTGTTGATTCGATTACAGAAAAAATTGATAACTTTGCTAAAAATGCCATAAAAAAAAATTATTCATTCATAATATAGAATTTGATTATTTTTCATACAGATACGGATATAACAAGCTATATACAAAAATATAAAAAGTTGAATCAAGAACATTGGAATTTTGTGATTCTCAACTTAACTTAAACTAAGCTAAGAAATAACAAATATAAGTAATGGTATATGTACACATCTATACACTTTCAAATTTAATGTCAACGATCCAAGCAGTGATAATAAAAAATAAGAGTAAAGCAAGTAGTATTATCAGACTCCAGCGACCCATGTTGAAATTTACAGAAAATACTACTAACGGTTTCAAATTTCAGAAGATACAACGACATCAAAGCCTATCTTATAAGATAACCCTACTGACAATATAGGAGCAAAACATTGCCTCATTTGATATTCACCTCAAATACTCGTACATCAATTGATTTAAATATCAAAAAAGCGGACGTTTGCCTACGCGGCATTTGTGGATATGAACTTAACCGAATCGTCTTATCGATTTTGCACTTGATGATTTTTTCTATTAATTATACAGTTAATATTTTATTACATTTCTTATTTTGAGTAATAGTTATTATGACAAACATACGTGCCGTTATCTACCACAACCGGTCATTTCAAGAAGCTGTATTATGAAATATCATCTCAAGAAATGTTATAACCGCCTACAATTGTAGAACGCCTTTATTTACTCTTTGATTTTCATACTCTTTCCTCTCCTTCAGAAAGGCTGGGGTATTTCTAAATTTGTACTGTTTCGCGTCAGCCTCAGCGCACTCTTATTGCGAGGTTATGCTTCCTTTTTGGAATAAAATAAGAACCAAATATGTATATGAAATTTTTTATATTCAACAACTGCAATTCTTGTGACATAGATTTTATTTTGGTGTAATTATTTTTAATCGATATTATTCTCATAGCTTTATTTTGCAGGACTTATTTTGATAATATTGCTTCATTGGCAGTGAACAAGATAGTTGAACAATATAATAGAGTAATTGTTATTATAAACAATTTTTTTGGAATATGTACTAGCAGAAGCCCTATAAAAGTAATTTGTTTTTTTTGACAGTTTTTGAAATAATGATCCTCAAACTTTAGTTAACTATCAATATATCTTTAATTGATTCAACTTTTTCAATTATTTCACCATTTGTCCTAATTGTGATAGTATTCTCATTTAGGTATTTCCCTATTAGCATACATTTTGTTTTAGAAGCATTCAATTTCAGTTTATTTATGATTTTTGCGAAGTCAGAATATTGCATTTTTTTAAGCACTGTCTATATTTTCATCTGATCTGCAAATATCTGAATTTCACAATAATTTAAAATATAAATGTATAAAATAAAAAGTAGTGGACTTATTTTACAACCGTGTGGTACACCAATACGTCAATTATTTGGTATCCCCATTACTTCAAACACAAAATGCTATTTTAAACTGCTCGCTTGCAAGACTGACGGTACTTATCCTTCTAGGAATATACTTTATAAGCATCTTACTTTAAGATTTCAGTTAAAAAGTCTCGATCTAAGACGGAAATGTAATTCTTTAGCAATTTTGTATAAACTCATTCAAAATAACGCCAGCGTAATTGTAAACCTCTCAGTGTGAGAGAGCTAGAACAAATTTGCTGCTAGAAATGCAGCAAAATTTTAATTCAATGTTGTGATATACATTTTGACAGTATCTCAAAAATACTGAAATGTGATCGTTTGTACCTGCACCGAGAAGTCATATAAATGTACAGCAATTATCTCTTATTATATATTTATGTTTTTTTTTTCTAAAGGTCTAACGTATTGATGCTTGGCATAATGTCAAAAATCGTATATCATTTTTTTCTATAATCATTTGCGCTTCCGTACTCCTTACAAGTTCAATAAAGTATTGTTCTTATTTTTCATACAATGACCTATTAAGCCCACTAAAAATGATCCCATATTTTAGAACACTTTCAATTTAGATTAAAATCCTAAAACCGCAGCAAATGAATTAAGCCTCTTCAGCAGTTCGAATAGATGTGTAGTCCAATCTAAAAATTCGTCAATATAGATGCCTAAGAGCTTTACAACTGCAGTTGATGATCATCTGTATCGATTTTGCGACTAAGTATTTGCGATACAGTCGCCAATTCGG